TTTAAGTTGTCAACATCCGCATATACATACATAAATGTATGTATGTGTACATACACATATATATATCTCTCCTCGTGTCTCCCGTATATGAGTGTGCGTCCATGTATGTGAGCGATCATTGTATTTGGTCACCCTGTGTGCATGTTTTTTTTTTTTTTTTTTTTTTTTTTTTTTTTGGGGGGGTTACGATCTATTCAGTTCGGGTTTGAATTTGTCTATAAAGTTTTTTTCCTGTATTTGTAGATACGAGTAATTGTCTGTTTGATATATCGGCATGATATTAAACTTACCCTGGTTACATTTGAAAATGTGTTGTGATACAAAAAGTTTTCTGTTGTCTGTCAATTTTATATTGCTTTTGTGTAGGGAGACCCTGTTGTTCAGTTGTTGGCTGATGCCTATATATGACTTCTTACATTTTGTGCATTTAAGTGCATAAACTACATTTTTGGAGTTGCAGTTTAAGTTTTTGTTTATTGTGAATGTTTTTTGGGTTTTCAAAAGTGTAGGAGTTTCCTTCTATAATGATGTCACAAACTCCACATCTTTTTTTGTTGCATTTTGTGACTCCTGTATTTTGTGTTGACTAAATTTAGATGAGGTTAATATGTGTTTTAGGTTTCTAGATTGGCGTTTGCTCTTAATTATTTTGGTTGTTTTTAGTATATTATTCAGTTTATTATTCTTGCTAAGTAAATCTAGATTTTTTGTGATTTCTGGGAATATTTCTGGGTTGTTTTTGTTGTACGTTGAAACATATGCTAGAGTTTGTTCGACGTTACGTTAAATTTAGTCAACACAAAATACAGGGAGTCACAAAATGCAACAAAAAAAGATGTGGAGTTTGTGACATCATTATAGAAGGAAACTCCTACACTTTTGAAAAACCCAAAAAACATTCACAATAAACAAAAACTTAAACTGCAACTCCAAAATGTAGTTTATGCACTTAAATGCACAAAATGTAAGAAGTCATATATAGGCATCAGCCAACAACTGAACAACAGGGTCTCCCTACACAAAAGCAATATAAAATTGACAGACAACAGAAAACTTTTTTGTATCACAAACACATTTTCAAATGTAACCAGGGTAAGTTTAATATCATGCCGATATATCAAACAGACAATTACTCGTATCTACAAATACAGGAAAAAAACTTTATAGACAAATTCAAACCCGAACTGAATAGATCGTAACCCCCCCCCAAAAAAAAAAAAAAAAAAAAAAAAAAACATGCACACAGGGTGACCAAATACAATGATCGCTCACATACATGGACGCACACTCATATACGGGAGACACGAGGAGAGATATATATATGTGTATGTACACACATACATTTATGTATGTATATGATGTTGACAACTTAAGAAGCACGAAGTGTGTGTGTGTGTGTGTATGTGTGTGTGTGTGTGTGTGTGTACTGGTTCCATGTAGCTTGGGAAATATGTGTATATGTGTGTGTACTGACTACTTGTGGTGGGATAGTGTGTATGTGTGTGTATAGGTACAAATAAGTTTACGAATTCCTCGTAGTAAGGAAATATACGCACGCATATATACACGCATGCTGACGGGAACACGCCAAAATAGAAACAGATCCAAGAGCACATAGAGGTCACTAAAACATTAAAAGATTAAATGCCGATAACTACTGCTGGACAAACCTTAATTGTTTTATGACCCTTCACGCAGAACTCTTCATTGACAATTCTAGAAAGAAAATTCGATTGCCAACACACAAACAGAATGTCTCATATCGAGAATATTCCACATTGAACATGAAGAAAAATTAATTATTTTTAATAATATGTAAAATCTCCACTTTCACCTGAAGACGGTTAAGTAGACCAGACCAGAAACACGTGTCGTGAAATTATGTAAAACAAAGTATAATATTTTTTCTCAATAAATCCACATTACAACCAAAAACGTTTGCGGCACCCCTCTTCTTTTTAATATATATATATATATATATATATATAAACACATAGCTAATAGTTTGCGTGCATGTCTAAGTATTTCTTGCAAAAAATATTTGAGGATTTAATAGCTGACTGTACTAGCAAGACTAAGTTACCAACTCTACATTGTCATTTTTCTTTCTGACACAACAAATCTCATTTTGGACCTATTATTAAATATTTGAGATTATTATTAACTAGATTTTCAATAATTAACACAATTTTATTCACATCAGAAACAAGTACTTGCTGCCACAAGCCATGTTTAAATCCAACTCCCAACTAATTTTTAAAGGCTACTTTACAAACATTCTGTTGCTTTAGTATCCATCATGACCACAGCCTACTATTACTGTATGAACATATTACTGACTATCCATTTGTACTACTAAATTAATTAACATTACCTAATTTAGTATAACAGGAAGTACAACAAATGCAGTACATTTGAATGATAATTGTTGACTTATATGTCTGGGATTCATGATTATGTGTATATCGTGATGGGGCTTATGACTGTTGGCAAACAGCACTCTACAACTTGACCTTTCAGTGCTAAGACACAGAGTAATTTTTGAGGACATTTTCCAGGGGAAAAAATGTGACTTAGTATACAGGGAAATACAGTTTGTGTGTGTGTGGATTAACAGTAAAAACATGTATCAACATAGTGATTTTCTTGTGTGTTTCAGCGATAATGCTAAAAAGCTTATTCAACAATATGAAAGGAATTTACTTAAAATAGACAAAACTTGTTTATATTATTTAATGAAATAAATATATATATATATATAAGAATAAATAAAATGGAAAAGTTACCTCCCTTACACTGTGGAGAAGAGGAAAAAAAAAACGTAAATTTTGAATTTGATATCTAGAGCACTGTGTAATGGAGTAAAAGAAACAATTGGAATGTTTTGCATTTACAGAAATACATATAAACAATCACAGACAATTTGACCTCTTGAAGATGGTCTCAGATGAGATTGAAAGTTCTTGGGAAAAATAAAACTATTTAAAAGAAAATTTTGGTATTTTTCTTAATCAATTTTCCAGACCTGTTTGAATAAAATTATGCTGCCTAAATAGACACACACACATTATATATATATATATATATATATATTTATTAAAGACATATTTTTATGTTTAACGTTGTTATTTTATAGATACAAGTATTTAAGCAAATGCTCTGTTTATGATAAACAGTATTAAATAACATTTACCGCCTGAATGTCCGAGAAATTTTCATAGAAAAAATTTTCGTTCTTTGACAGGATTCAACCTGCATCCTATAATGAACCGTCATATACGCTTATCTATAAAATAACAACGTTAAACATAAAAATATGTCTTTAATAAATAAATTGTCGGACCTTGTCCATTTCTTAATATATATATGTATATATATGTGTGTGTGTGTGTGTGTGTAAAGCAGTTATTGGTCATAATTGAATTAGACCAGGAAGGATTTGGAGGGGGGGGTGATGTCTCAAATTGCCTGAAGATACCGAAAGATTGAAACCCAGGTAGTGTAATTGGCTGATCTCCTAATTTTTTAAACTATATATATAATATATATATATATATTATGGGATCTTACCCATAATAATAATAATGGACTATTCGATACTTAATAAATACTGCGCCTCAGGAGTAGGAAGGAGTCAGTTGCTCAAGTCTTGACCAGCTGATCGGTTGAACTATCTGCCTTTGGGCTGGGAGGAACCCAAAAGAGGCTACGGCGAAGGGCGAATTCTCTTTCGGGGAGGTAAACCGACCCTGAACCCGTTTATACAGGTTCAATGGGCATATTTTTGGCCGAGCTCACGGGCTTGGAGATCCCACGTTAAACCTGCCTCGTGGGAGGGGGGGAGGGGGGGCTGAATATCGTCAGTAGTTCAAGTCGAGTCAGAGGCAGTCCGAAACAGAGTCATGTTCAGACAATTACTGCAAGACATTGAATAGTGATACTGGTCGAGACTACATTGTTCTCTACTAAACCTGATTGTTCATACTAACACTTCTACTTCTCTGTATATATTCCTGTTTGTAATATATCTGTATTATTCCATACCTGTGTTCGAGTTCTTCTTTATTGGTTCTACCTTGGACTATCACCATGGTACAAAGGAACCGGACCATAACATTATATATATGCGAGAATTAATGGAACTCGAAAAACAACAATTATTTTCACTTCATAACTGACTAGACAGAAGATTCTCTAACAGTAGGCTGCTGTTTCTTTTCTGGACACCAGTTACCACCCAAAACTATATGAGCCAGTTTGATCTGTTTAACCCATAGCTGGGGGAGAAGAGATGGATTTATTTATTTCCAAGGGGGTATTTGTGCATGAGTGAATACAACAATGCTCTCAGATTTCTAATTCCAAGCCAATATCCATTCCTCCACAACACATATCCTACAAAACTACAAAAAAAAACAAAAAAAAACAAAAAAAAAAACAAAACAAAAGAAAACAGGACTAAACTACCATAGATTAAGGGAAAGAAAAAATTAAAAGAAAAAGCCAGAATCCATGGAAAAGATATGAATCCATCCATACTCCCCCAGTTATGGATTAAATAAATCAGACTGGGTCCTATGGCTTTGGTTAGCAACCAGTCTACTGTAGAAAGAAACTTTTCCAACAGTAGGTTGCGATTTCTTTCTACAATAAACTGGTTGCCAAACAAAGCTGTGGAACCAGTCTGATTTATTTAACCCATAGGTGGAGGAGAATAGATGAATTCATATCTTCCTCAAGGGTATTTGTGTATAAGTGAATCCAACAAGATCAATTGGAAATCAAACAGGGCTCTCAAATTTCATATCAAGACAATATCCATTACCCCAAAACACACACCCTACAAAACAACAAAAGAAACTACCACAAGTTGAGTAAAAGAAAAAAATTAAAAAGAAAAAAAAAATATTCAAAATGCTCAGTAACCTGGAGCAGAAATTTCCAGTTAAAAAAAACAAAAAAAACAAACAAACTAGAACTCTATGATAATTTCAAATTTTATGCTAGGAAGCAAACTTCAAACAGTTCAGAGTTACTCATTCTTTTTCATGCTTCTCCTTTTTCTTTCCCCCACTCCTCTCTTCAATAATGTAAATCCCCAGGAAAAATTTTCTAGGTCAATTAATTTAGACATTTACTTTTTTTTCTCTTCTAATTTAATTTTAAAATAATTTTTAATAAACTGTCTGGATAAATTTGAAGCATTCTTTAATTTCAGTCTGAGGAGGCAGATATTAAAAACTTATCTGTTGAAATAAATTTATTACTGAATTCTCCGATGATGTCTGAAGTTTTTTCCTTCTTGATGTATATTATATTGGTCTATACATAAATACATTGAGCTCTCTTCATGGATCTACCTTTTAATATTCTATATTAAAAAAAAAAAAAAACACTAGTTGGATTATCCTTACCACTTACAAATTTGCTATTCTTATTCTTATATGTATATATATATATATATATATATATATATATATATTTTTTTTTCAAAAATACAAACTGTTATTTAGGTCCAATAAATGCAAATACTAAGCAGATGTTTCAAACTGAATGCTTTCAACCATGATCATTATGAAAATGGGGAAGGGTTTGTGGGCACAGAAAGTCCTGAAATTTTCAAATATTTTAAAATTGTGTGCTGGGACAGATGGTGACTTGTAAGAGAAAATCTATTCATTGTTGTTAAACACATTGAAACATTAAAGACTGACGTGCCAGATTTTGAAAGATTTTCTTAATTTTCATGCCTTCTGTTTAGGATATATATATATATATATATATATATATATATATATATATATATATATGTGAAAAATATATAAAAAATAGGAAGGAACTGGTTAGGTAAATAATCCAAAGTCCCTTAGTATTTTAGTTATTATTTTTAAAAAATAGTGCTTGATTCCAACAAAATTTTGAAAATATATATATATATATATATATATATATATGAAAAATATATAAAAAATAGGAAGGAACTGGTTTTAATCCAAAGTCCCTAGTATTTTAGTTATTATTTTTAAAAAATAGTGCTTGATTCCAACAAAATTTCGCTTGAAGATGGAACGGAGCCCATTTTACTTTCAACTCAATTTAATTTAAAGGATTATATTGAAGCTTTCGGCTCTTGTTTTGAAACATGAGACCTCTTATGTAGCGATTTGGAATCATATTTTTACATAAATAATTATATATATATATATATATATATATACACACACACATATTGTTTGATAATTAGTATGGAAAGAGAATATACATCCAAAAAGAGCGCAATGTAAGAACAGAATAAATAATAATGAAAATGAATACATTCTAAAGTATACATTTTCATATATATATATATATATATATATAATTATTTATTTAAAAATATGATTCCAAATCGCTACATAAGAGGTCTTATTATTTAAAAAAAATAATAACTAAAATACTAAGGACTTTTGGATTTTTACCTAACCAGTTCCTTCCTATTTTCTATATATTATCACATATATACATATATATATATATATATATATATATATATATATATATATATATATATATATATATATATATATATGAGAGAGAGAGAGAGAGGAATCAATTTTCCATTTCAAATTTTCCTTAATTCTGTTTCAAGTGTTAGGGAATTCCTTTTTTTTTTTTCGTTTTCAGTATAGTCCTTCCCCCATTCTCAGTACAGTCCCCTCTTTCTTTTTCCCTCATTTTCAGTATAGTCCTTCCCCCATTCTCGGTACAGACTCCCTCTTTCTTTTTCTACTCATTTTCAGTATAGTCCTTCCCCCCATTCTCAGTACAGACTCCCTCTTTCTTTTTCTACTCATTTTCAGTATAGTCCTTCCCCCCATTCTCAGTACAGACTCCCTCTTTCTTTTTCTACTCATTTTCAGTATAGAATTCCTTCCTTCTCAATACAGACTTTCTTTTTCTACTCATTTTCAGTATAGAATTCCTTCCTTCTCAATACAGACTTTCTTTTTCTACTCATTTTCAGTATAGAATTCCTTCCTTCTCAATACAGACTTTCTTTTTTCAGTATAGAATTCTTCCTTCTCATTTTTCTTTTTCTAGTATAGAATTCCTTCCTTCTCAATACAGACTTTCTTTTTTCTAATTTTTTGTTCATAGAATTCCTTCCTTCTCAATACAGACTTTCTTTTTTACTCATTTTCAGTATAGAATTCCTTCCTTCTCAATACAGACTTTCTTTTTCTACTCATTTTCAGTATATACAATTCCTTCCTTCTCAATACAGACTTTTTTTTCTACTCATTTTCAGTATAGAATTCCTTCCTTCTCAATACAGACTTTCTTTTTCTACTCATTTTCAGTATAGAATTCCTTCCTTCTCAATACAGACTTTCTTTTTCTACTCATTTTCAGTATAGAATTCCTTCCTTCTCAATACAGACTTTCTTTTTCTACTCATTTTCAGTATAGAATTCCTTCCTTCTCAATACAGACTTTCTTTTTCTACTCATTTTCAGTATAGAATTCCTTCCTTCTCAATACAGACTTTCTTTTTCTACTCATTTTCAGTATAGAATTCCTTCCTTCTCAATACAGACATCCTTTTTTCTTTTTGGATTTTTTTTTAACCCATTTTCAGTACAGATTTCTGTTTTTGCTTCATTATAATCCACCGTGAGAAATTGTAACAATATAGAAATGTTATTAAAACAAGAAAATAAAAGGAAAATGTAAAATTTTACTAACTGGTATATTGATGGCTTCTAAACAGTTTCATCTACAAAATAGTCCTGATTATAGACTTCCTTTTTCTCCCCCCCGCCAGGCCTCCATTTTCAGTATACATTTCCGTCTTTGCTTCATTATAATACTTAGTGTGAATGTTATTAAAACAAGAATACAAAAGGAAAAAAGAAATATTTTATTAACTGGAATATCCACCCATTGAATAAGTTGTTCCAGATTGATAGGCTTTCATACCTCATAATTCAGTCCTTAATCTAACTTGATGAGTTTCTGGGACAATCCTTGCAAAGAATTCTACAATCCTAAAAATAAGAATTAAGTGAAATTGGTAAAACTTAGAGAAAAGTAGTGCCACAAAGTCATCAAGAGACAAAAAACGTTTGGTCGCTTTATTGTAATTATTTAAAAAAAAAAAAAAAAAAATAGACTAATTCGTAAAATTTGGCTTTCTGAAATGACAAGCTGCTCCCACCTCTCTTACCAAGTATGACTGGAAAAAGAAAGGATAAAACAGAAAGATGAAATTTTTTTCCACCCCCCCACCACATTTTCTTAGGAAAGGTAAACATAGTAATATATAAAAAATGTCAGTTGACAAATCTGATTGCTACAAAAAAGAAAACTTCCATTTCAAAATCATGATTTCCATTTCACGTAGGCCATTCTGTTTTTCAATTTTCACCAAAAATAAGCCTATATATATATATATATATATATATATATATATATATATATATATATATATATATATGACACACATATATTAATATATACTTTGTTGCTGTTTTACTACATTGAACATTGTTTTGTCTACACTATTAAGTAGTTATTTGCTCACCTGTATGTGTACATAATCGTTCATATATTTGGTTGATCATATCTCTTTATTTAGATATGTTGTATCAAAAATACTTTTACAAACTTTGGGGGTGGACTCCTCACTCTAAAACAACAACAAAAGTCCATGTAAACATGTCCACAAATCCTTTGTTTTTTACTTAAGGTTAAAGAAAATTTATGGGAGATAATACTGTTACCATATAGACTAGGTTACATTTGTCAATCATGTACATTTGTGGCTAGTCTGTCTTCAACATTTAACATGTGTACTAGTGAGTTAACAAAGAAGTGTTCCATTTAACAATGGCAGGATTTTCATATCGTGAGCAGGCAGATATAATTTTTACATCTGGACGCACGAATGGTAATTGATGCAATTCTGCACGACTGTATCAGATTGTGTTTCCAGGGTGAAGGCAGCCAAGTCATCAAACCTTTGCTGCTATTTATCATCGCGTTGCTGAGATAGTATCCATGTCACCGCAAACTGTGGATCGAGGAAGACTGAGATTTGCCTGTAGGCCTGGCCACAAAGAACACATTCTACAAATGAACATTCTTCGGAGACAATCCTGGTATCAGCACATATCAAGTGACCCCCAACATGTCATACATCTCACAGTACTACATGGAGAGTACTTCAAGTGTAGCTCTTGCATCTGTATCATTTGCAATGTATGCAGGGTCTTTCAATTTCTGATCAATCACTACAGGAGAACTTCTGCCGATAGTTTATTTCACAAACTTCTGATCTGTTGTTTGTCTCTTCACTCTTCTTTACAGATGAGGCAACATTTAGAAGAGATGGAATAACACAACCAACATTTGTGGGCAGATCGGAATCCCCATGGTACAATACAGGCTAGACAAAAGCATCAATTTACGATTATTGTGTGGGCTGGAATTGTAGGTGACTATCTGGTAGGTCCATATGATCTCCCAGCATGTCTTACAAGAGAGGGACTTTATTTCAAACACACTTCCAGACCTGCTAGAGGATGTACCCCTGCTAATAACAAAGACATATATGGTTCATGCATGATGAGGCTCCAGCACATTTTAGTCACATTGTTTGTGATGAACTGACTAACATCTACCATGAAAGACAGATAGGTAGGGGAGGATCCAGTTCCATAGCTTGCATGTGCCCCTGACATCAATCCTTTGGATTTTTATCTGCAGAGCTGCCTAAAGCTATTGTTTTCTGCAGCAGATATTAATAATGTAAAGATGCTTCATCAATATGTCATGGGAGCCTGCAAAACCATTTGATGCCATGTGGGAGTATTTGAAAGGGTCCACCAGTCAATGATCAGACAGGTGCAGGTGTGTGTAGAAGCAATCAGAGAACAAACACACTTCAATATACGGTCACCTATGGAGCAAGATACCTTATTTATTGTTGACTGCTTCTCTTTCATTCCAACAGCCTCAAGGATTTTGAGTTTTTCTATGCATTGTGTCCTATATAAAACTTTGGTGTTATCTACTAAAATTTACATTGGCCACCCATACACCACACTCTCTCATAGGTTGACTTGCCAGTTAACAAAATTTAGTGAAATTTGCAAACATATAACAAATAAGCAAAATAATATTAATTTGATATAGGACACAATGCAAAGAAAGGCTCCAAATATTGGAGGCTGTTCTAATAAAAGAGAAGCCGCTAACATTAAATATAGTATCATTCCCCATACAAGTATCCACTAAACATAATGGTTAAGGAGTAAAAATTACATATATAGCCATGTATGTAATATTAGACAAATATTAGTTGATAACACAATAATATTCACACATACACACAGTAAAAAGATCTACATTAAAATGAAGCAATCCACAATCAACAAAATTACATTCCAAATTAGTGACAACATATTACATTGCATCTAGACATTGGTTCTGTTGTTAATAATTCGGTCCATCGCGTGGTATGACGTCATAGAACTGCATCTTGAACTTACAACCTGCGTCTGCTATTCTGCAACTGTTATTGTTGCATAGCAATTTTTTAAATTTTTTTGTGAAAATAACAAAATATCATATTTGACGGTGGATATCTTTGTTTCATGTCTGTATAAGTACTCTGAAGATGGCTCATGTGAGCCGAAAGCTTAGAACCAACTTAATAAAAAATTATCCAAATATTGGACAATTTTTGTCTTGATTTTCACCCAAAAGTAAAGCAAACATTTGAATATTAGAATGGCTCATGATCAGACATAATAGACATTCATTGTCTGTTTTAGATATATATATATATATATATATATATACACACACACAACAATTCAGTTCAAGTTTAAAGCCACCCTTAGAATTAGCATGTGATGAACTTGACAAAAGAGTTGAGAGAAAAAAATGAAAAAACTCTTAAAGTCATTGAAAAAAGAATGGAATCAATTATCAAACTTATACTTTGAGAAGCTTTTGCAATGAATGCTAAAAATTTGTGCTGCAGTAATCAAGGCTAAAGGAGGATATTTTGACGAGAGCAAAATTTAATCATAAAATGCTTTTCTTTTTGTCATAATAAAATTTCTAATAAAAAATCATGTCTAATTTTTTTTTAACCATGTATAATAATTTACTCTTATTTAAAGTATAAAACAATAACTTTTTGGATGAATTTAAAAATTACCAGGGGTGGCCTCAAACTTTGGAACTGTAATGTGCGTGTGTATATATATATATATATATATATATATATATATATATATATATATATATATATATATATATATATATCCAGCCGGGCTAAACCATAAATTTAACAATATAGATAGTACTAATATATAACTCAACAAATCAAAACCTACCCACATTTCTCACCCACACAAGACAGACATGCTTACGGAGGTGTGGAGGCCTCACACTTATACACACACCCACACGAATATACACACTCCCTAATGAGCCAAATGATAACACACACCCACAGCAATACACATGCTTACACATATCATACTCACTCACTCCCTAAGAACCAAATAATACACACACAAACACTAAACAGAGACACATCCAAGGACCAATAAAACTGTCAAAGTGACCAAGGGAATTCAGGGAAGCAAAGATCCATCCAGCTCTTATTTCTTTGACCAACACAAGGAATGTTAAAAGATTCATGTTAAAAAGATAAAAAAATAAAAAAAAACAAATGAAAACTACAGACAAAAGTTCATTTTCTCCAGCAAGACATTCATTTCTGTAGTTTACTGCAGATCAAAGGCAATTAAAATATAATTAACATTATCAATTCAACATGACAATATTTTATGAATATGTCCTGAAGATGGTTTATTAGACCGAAACATCCGACATTGACATATTAACATTAAAACAGCATAATTGCATATAAGGATTTTTGTTTGTTTTTTCCGTATATATTTTTCTTCATACTGTCGGATCTATATCCATATATTTGCTTGCATATATATATATATATATATATATATATATATATCTGAAGTAATGGATTTGTTTATTTATTAATTCGACAGATCTTATTACTTATGTTATTTTTAGTGAAAACCCATATTCGAGAAAACACTCTGTTTCCCAGAAATTTACTTCAGCTGAGAGCAAAGTTCAATTGTAAGAAAAAAATAAATATATGAAGCAATATTTCGTATCTGTTATCATGTTTTTTTTATTTTTTCTTATTAATCACTGAACTCTACAGCTCTTTCCACACACTTCAAATTAATTTCTATATGAGAAAAATAAAAAATTCAACCAATAGTTGGAGAGACTGATATTTTTTTTTTTTTTTTAAGAAATAACTTTTGCAAGGTTTTACTTTATGTTTCTTTTCAGTCTTTTAGCC